TCCAGAAAACCCTCACATCAATCCCCGCAGGTCGTCCACGACGTGGTGTATGCAACGACAAGAAGCAAAAGAAATCCTCGAGTGAGGTAACTCAAAACCACTGACTAATTCGCCTTTTTTGTCTCAGGGAACCTAATGAAAGAAGTTTTCGATTTATCAAATTTTTGGAGTGCATTCATACTTTGCGGCAACCTTTCGAGCGGTTACATCGTTTTGAAAATCCACCAGCGTTTTCAGCGTACTCTGACACCCCTACTTTCCTAGTCGCTTAAAACGCTTGGAACGCTGCTGTAATGTGTAAACGCATTCTACCACGCTTGGTCACTTATAGTTGAGCAGCTTTTTGTGCTGAGATACTCTGCAGTAATTGACCGTTTTTATAGGATGCCGATGAAGACGAGCGTTACATCAGCAACGTTTTGCAAGAATTACGAGTAGAACTGGATGTTAAACGAAGGGAAGAAGAAAATTTGCAGAAGGAAATAGCAGAAGTTCTCACAGAGTGCGCTTCAGGTGTGTTAGCTTTCGTAGTCCTTTTTTGTAATACCCCATTTTTTGGGCTAAGGGCGCACCTGTGTATGAGCCGCACCTCCGCCTGTGTGCTGCGAATGGTTCGCGTGTTTTATGAGAAAATTCTCCCAAATTCAGAATTACTCAAGGATTCATAGGAGGTTATTCCTGTGGCCTTCGATTATCAGAGGTTCTATGAGTGCTTTAAACCGTTAAAGACACATGGTACGCTCACACTGACGGTGTATGTGACTATCAGCCCTGTCCAGCCCCTCCAGCTGTCGGGTCTACTTGGTCATTGTTGGGAGGGACCCCGTTACGTGTGTGTGTACTAGTGAGCCGGTTTCTCGCCCGGCAACTGCCACGCGGGTTAGAGTACAGCGTCGGGGTCCGTGGAAAAGATCTTTAATTCGTCCTGTGCTTCGCCAATATGCAACTTCGCGGCGCGTCTTCTTGGCACGATTGCAAGTCCTGTAAATTGCGCCTTTTGACATGCTTCAAAGTTTCCGAATTGAGAGGTTTTCATTGGTAGACGATATACCCCCCCCCCCCTTCGAGCAAAATTTTCGGGGAAAAGTAGGGAATTTTCGGAATTCTGGAACCAAAAGCAGGAACTTGGGCCGAAAATCCGAGAATTCGGAAAAGGGGGGGGTGGTCGTAAAGCTTGACTTAAATCACCAACCCAAGGATCCAGTGATGAAGATGACAAAGGCTAGAAATGAAGAACAACGAATGTAGATGTAAATAAAACAAGAATGAAAAAATTAAGGAAATGCAAATTAATTGAGAATCGCGTGTAAATTTCTGCGATCCTGGCGCGAATCCCCAGCTTCAAAGGAAATACTTTAAACTAACGAGTGGGACGTTAGGCCGTTTTTATTTTCATGTTTTGTGGGAATGCGCGGCCTCCGAGGGATGTTGCAGAAGCAGCACAGTTGCTCTTGAGTTCTGGCCCTCGTCATCATCTTCGGTTCTTATTTTGCAGCACCTAAAATGTTATCCGCATCAGAAAATTGCGTTCTAATTGTATTTCAAAGCGCAATTACAGGACTTGGCAAAGTGCCAAGAAGGCTGCGCCGCAAGTTGCATTTTGGGCGGAGCATGGACGAATTAGACTTTCCCACGGCCCTGTACTCTAACCCGTGCAGTTTCGGGCGGGAAACCACGACACATCGACAGCTGGGGGCTGATAGTCACATACACCCTCAATGTGTGTGAGCGTACCATGTGTCTTTAATTCTTCATTTCGTGGGTATAGGACGACCTTAACCACGAACGCTACGAATGGGAGCAGTCTGGCGACGGGGGGGGGCTGCATTTCGCACTTCCATTGCTTCTCGTTGTCGTATACACTGCTTTACATGAGTTGGCAGACATTTCTTGCAAGAATTGAGAAGTTTGTGCTAACTTTGACTGGTATCACTCCACGGCTTCACAAGTTTTCACAAGTCTATTCGATTACTCAACAGGACAATGAGAAGCACGAGAGTGCAGAATGCCCCCCCCCCCTTCACCGAACTGCACCCCTCGAACCTTTCTTTCTGCCTTTCGCATATTTTTCTACTACTTTTTATGTAGGTGAGTAAACTATATTGAAAAAGAAGCGTTGGAAAACCAATTAGAAGATTAAAATACGCAAAAAAGGGTTGTAAAGACGTCGCTGTGTTTAGACTTTTCGCGTGAGTTGTCGCGTCCGTCCGGGCGACAGCGCTAGCAAATGCACCTTATACCCCGAATATCTATTATTTCCAATGGAGAAATGGGCGGTTGCTAATGCTGAGGTGTGCCGGAGTGAGATAATTGGAATATGCAAGTGAAAGAGCTGATTCTTGGGTAGAGAAATTTTCCAATGAAAATAGGGTGGCCTTTTGTGTACAGGACGCATTCACGTGCAAAGTCATGGAGAGACGCGAACGTTTCTAGAGCAGCAGCTATTTCGCATTCTGTGTATTAGGTCGAGCTAGGAAAAGCTCAACTTCTGTTTTACATATCTCCAGTCGCAGGAACTTGCGTCTTAGCGGAGACGGTAAAATTTGTTCTGTTCGGGTGAACTTTTCTTATGGATAGAATTCCGGCTAAGTTGGCGACGAAGGCTGTGTTCATATTTTGCAAGCTGGTGTGACGCTGATTTCTTCCGGAACGCCGAGTTGCAGAGTATGAGAGCGGCCTGAGCTATTTTTTGCGACCGTTCTTGTAGCTCGAGCGCCAGGCTTTTTGCGCCATCCGTGTGGTCGATCGTTCCTGTTTAATGGATGAAATCTGTGCTTAAGACATTGTGGCAAATTGTGGGTCAAGTTCTGGAAATTAGGTCGTGAAGGGTAAGCAGTGCTTAATAACCCTATCCCTTAAGTTTCAGGAAGTGCAGGCGACCATCAAAGTCGAGCTTTTGGAATGGCAGTGTCTCGCTTGAATAATGCCATGCTAGTTGTCGAAACTGACACAAAGCAACTTGCCGCTAGTCTGCGCACAATATCGCGACTTGCTGATAATATCAGTGGTAAGGTGAGTGAAGTGGGATGGATTATCGTTCAATATATAGTTTTTTTCTTAGGTAATTCAGCGCTGTTCGGGAGGGTATTTAGCTCTTTTGCTAGTTCCTGTGAACTTACGCCTCTCATCTTGGGGAGACCTGTGGATTCTTGTCAACATGCTGTTGCATGTGTTGCATGCATAGTTTGACAGGAATTTGCAGGTCTCCACGGGTGCATCAGTAGTGGTCGACGGAAAGTGGCGAAATGCCCCCTCCCCTCCATACTGAACTTCGTCGGTCTCTCCTCAGGAAAACTCCAAGTTTTTGGAGCTTTCTTTTCTGACAGCGTTTTTTCCTTTGTTGTTACCTTTTAGGAGTTGTTTTTCAAAAGTAGTGACCGGCGTACAGATCGGCGGTTTGGTGCATATGTAGGGAAGGGGTTGAACTGTGGGCTCTCACATTCATCCCTTGCCAGACTCTTTAATCCTTTTCTCTTACTTACAGGTATCTGCTCTAGATGTGGCCAAAACTCGTGTGGTAGAATGCCTCCAACTTGCAGGGGATATGCATGACCTCGGTAAGAGCTTTGCTATTTTCATTATCCATTTCTCTCCAGTTTCTTTGTTATATTTCTCAGGAATTCTAACTTGACGTCTTGGCGCTATCGCAGTTGGGCGGAGGGGGAGGACCATTTAGAAGTGATTGGCTTGACAGACAGTGTTATCATTGGTATGGTATGGAGAGCATGCCGCAGTTAGGATCACCAGAGACCCCAGAGGAGGTCATATCTGGTGGCTGAAAGGAGTTCTCGCGTCTAGTGCGCTATTTCCTCTCCCCCCCCCACCCCCCTCTTCCCACTCGAGTGTAATTTTGTGGAGAAAAAGTTTAGAAGAATCAGAAAAAGCCAGGAAGAATTTGAGGAAGATGACAGGTACGGATGGGGAAGGGGGATCGTACCAGAGGAGAAACACTTGAGGGGAGGGGTCGTATTTTTTGTGAGAATTTTGCTCAACGGCACAACGTGCCCTAATGGTGTGGCAGCGTTATTTTACATTAACGTCCATATGGCCACAACGCTAACGCTCAGGGTCGCTGTAGCTCATAGAGCAGATGTAATCGCCTCGCCGCCTCCCCGAACTAAATTAGCGCCGGCGTCTTTCAGTAACTAAAATATTCATGTGTTTATCTATTCGTTTACAGGAGTTTGTAGTGAAGGTGTTGATGAGTGTATCAGCAATGAAGACTATGAACAAGCTGCTCAGCACATCCATCGCTTTCTCACACTTGATCGGGCCGTTTTTCAGTTCAGCTCGAGTACGGTAGACAAAGGTAAGCGTGCTCCTAGAGAATTTCGTGTTGCAAACACCTTGAATGTGTTTTATGGGAGTGGTAATGCGGATGATGTCTTCATGATAGCAAGGCGCTGGAAGGCTGCACTCCAATTTTCTCAGTTCCTCTGTTCTTACAGTCCAGTTGAAATGCTTTTTGTCCTGCTCAGTGTCAGGATTTGTCAGTATCATTTCCTTATCCTTGCTTGCTCTTTGCTGCCCCTTATTTCGAAACTCAGGCTGGATTGTTACGTGAGGTCGTTTCCTTGGGTTTATTCAGTTGAAGATTTATCCACAGGGGTGGCTCGGCTTCTTCAACACGAACAGCAATCCGTTTGACAAGATAAGGTTTAGGTTTTGTGCCACGAGGTGTCTGCCGAAGCAGTCGTCATTTTCGATGCAGACGCCGTGTTAGAGTGTTCAAGGAGAGGCTGTGTCTGGCGGGTGAAGCGCCATTGCGCTCCCTACCATTGTTCGGGCGGGCAAATCAAAACAACTTGTAGAGAACGGACTCGCACCGCTCCAAAGCCACCCGCTCCCCTGACACGCCCTATCATCTACAGCAAGAACGACTATAATGCTCCGACACCCGTAACGCGGTCATTAGGCGCTTCGGATGAGATTACACGTTTAGAGACCTGAAGGCAATCGGCACGATTGCTGGGAGCGCGGCGCGGTTGTCGCTTAAAGTCACTGGTGGAGGGGCTAAGCGGGGTTTGGTCGCCTCCCGCAGCACTTCCACCAGTGACGTTGGCAACAACGGCCCGCCTCCAGTAGTCGTGTCCATTGACTTGTGAGCCACTCCCAGGTATAGATTTTGGCCCAGTTCGAATCCGAAGCTCTTAAAGAGGGAACTCTGAGAAGGAATGGGGTCTCAATTTTGAAAGTAAAACAGTGAATTGTGCATAATAAGGCCTGTCGTTACTTTTTAGATGCTGGCCAAAACGTTTCGCACAGTTATGAAGTGCTGACAAATGCTACAGCACGACTGAAGGAAATTTTAGAGAAAAAGCTGGAAGCTGCTGTTGATGCGGAAGACATACCGTCCATGCAAAGGTGCAGTCAGCATTTCTCACAGAGCCTTTCCATTAATGTTGAAATGTTTCGTTCAGATTTGTAAAGTTGTTCCCGTTGATTAACGAACACAACAGTGGCCTCACTCGATTTGGAAAGTACTTAAGCAAGCAGATTGCTAAGATAGGGAATGATAACCTCAAGGTTCGAATTTCAGCTTTGACATCTATAGAGTCGCCCGTTTGTCACCTTTCTACTTCTCGACATCTTAAATGAAAGAGAAGATATTTTGTGAACTTTAATTTTTATAGATTATGGATGTTGGTGGAACGGACGACAAGAGAATCAATGTACTCTATGCTGACACGTTATTTTTGTTCTTTGAAGGTTAGTAGAAGTCATTTATTGATTGGATTCATTGAAAATTTTGTCGCTTCATAATTTCATTCGTCGGCATCCGTTACTAGTGATCTTTTTACAGTTGTAATATACAGATAATGACAACTTTTTCACGCTCCTCACTTCTCTCTAAACCCTTTTATGTTTTTTTTTCGACGGATTTCATTGTTTAAAATGTTGAAAAAGGGGAGAACTTATTCTTGTTGCGCGATATTGTGTCCACTTACAGCACACATGGTACGCCCACTATTATCAAACTCTGCCCACTTTTATAGGACTTTTTAAAAAAGTCCCTACTCTTTCAGCCTCCTGCACCGAGCTCCGGCTACTAAGGTCAAGCCCCGCCCACTGTAGGAAAAGCCGAGCTTGGGGGCACGCCCCGCGCTCGTCTGATGAGCAGACGCCTTCTTTGGGCATGGCAGGCCTTTTCGTGGTCATGTAAGATGTACTACTTACGCAGCTCGTGAATACGTGATGAAAGCGCGACCCACTCGCGACGAGGCTAGCGGCCGCGCCTGCGCTTAAAAAACTTTATTAACTAACTGCTATCTGATGCAGCGATTGTTGTGCTGCTAACTTTCTCCATTTCGAATGGTGAGAATGAGGTGGTAGGGAGAAAAACACCAGTAAGTAAAAACTCGCCCGACCACGCTTCATTGTCTTATACGCGCTGAAGCGATTGAGCTTGAGGCTCTATATAGGACACTTGCCGGATTTTTCTGCTTTTTCCT